GCGGCGGGGTGCCGGAGAAGGGGGCCGCCGGCGGCCGGCGAGGGGGGCAGGCCGGGGAGAGTGAATGGGGGTGGCGGGGAGAAGCCGGACGGAGGGGAGGGGACCTGAGTGCATAAGAGAGAAGGCTGGGCCGAAGGCGGCGAGCAGAGGCGGTGACAGCCCTGGGGAGAGCGGGCATGGCGAGGCGAGCCCCCCGCAAGCCCTGTAGCTGGAGGTGCTTTGCCGCTCTTTGGGGAGACCACTTTTTGCTCCTGGGGCTGCTGCTTTTGCCCAGCCAGGGGAGTGCTTCTGAGTCACGAGGTAAGAGCATGGGGATGGAAGGGAGGGATCGGTAAAACCCCAACTTTGGCCAGGACTGGAGGGAGAGGATGTGGATTGGGGTACCTCCGGGATTTATATGGGGAGAAGAGAAATGGATTTTTCGGGTGCATGCGGGGTGGCATCCCTGGGTTTGAATGGACCAGCTGGCCAAGGGGCAGGTATGGGCTCCGATTCCTCCCCTCGACCCTACAGTCCTGCTGGGGAAGTGCCCCCCAACTCTGCTCTCTTGACTGGTCCAGCAAACCCTATCCCAGCGCTGCCTGGGGCAGGACAGCTGGGCTCTGCGCTATGACTCTATATGGTCTGGTTGGGAGCGGAGGGCTGGGACAGGCAGCCTCCCCCTGCACGGAGGGGAGGGAGACAACTCCTTATCCCTCTGGTCCCACCTTGGGTCCCCACAGCATCGCTTTGGATGCCTCTCTGCCTCAGCAGAGGTACCCCTCTCTTCTCCATCCTATGGCAAATCACCCCGGCTGGAGAGGAAACAGTCTTGGTAGGGTCCGAACAGCTGTCCCAGCTCCAGACCTTGGCACCTTGAAACAGAACTGGGAGTGACTTTTGTTGTTGATGAGGTGAAACCTGTTTTGTTGTTGTTATTGAGAAATAAGCAGTTTTCCCCAGAAGTTTTTGTCGTCCTTCAAATTCGGTCATGTGTTTATGTCAGTTTGGTGAAAGCCTGATGGGGTTTTGTCAGGCTGGGTTCAGTCTCTTGTGGTCTGTTTTCCATCACTTCTTTCTTCTGCAACCGAACCAAGAAGCTGGGACTGATTTTTCTCTGTGAAGCATGATTTTTGGAGCCCTGCTGGATTCTCTGTTGCTGCTGAAAATAAGTTTTCCAGCAACTCTTAAGCTTGAGAGACCCTTGTGAAGTGTGTATCTGGGAGAGGAATGGAGAGTGTAGTGGGAGCCAGAAATTTCTATTTGGATAAAGGGGAGAGGAGAAGCAGACAGAAAAGCTGCCTTGCTTGCTTCGGCTGGAGTCTGTGCGCTATGGGGCTTGTGTTGGGTCTTGTACATCCCCTAACATGGGGCTGCCCGGATGAAATGCTAGCAATGCTAGGTGTTGCTTTGATGGAGCAGTAAGAATGTCTGAAATGCAAAAGCAACACTGTTCCAGATGAAATGTTCCCAGAAAGGGCTGGGAATGAGTGTATGCGTTTTCCGGGGAAAAAAATTAGAAAGGGATGGGAAACCCCCTCTGCAATACATTTTGGTTTATTTGACTTAGATTTTAAGGCCCTGTCTCATGCTCTGAGTCTCTCCTATTCCCAGCCAAAGCTATAGTCAAAACAGCTAGAAGCTTAATATAATAACCAAGAGGTTTTTATGATGTGGCCTGAAGCCCAGCCCAGTAATCCCTGCAGAAATGCTGCCCCTCATATCGCATCTTCTCCCCAGACAGCGTGGGAGAAAGATGATCTTTGCAGCAAGCATGGAAAGAGAGAGACCCCCCCATGCCATCTGTAATCTTTTTTTTAAGATATTTTCTTTGGTAGGTGAAAACCCTGGATTTGGCCTGTTGGTCATGTCTACTATGATCTATCTTCTCTTCTTCTCTGCCTCCTGATGGTCTGTGTGTGGAGAGAGAGTTTTTATTTGCCCTTCTGCTCTGCAGGAGCAAGTTAAGAAAAAATAGTTTTGTTTTCCCTTTCTGTGTCATGGGAAGGCAGAAGAGCAGATAAATTTGTGATTGCCAGAGCTGGGCAACTCTCTGTGCATCTCGTCTCCACTCTGCCACTGCCTACCCTGCGCGATTGAAAGCAAGTCGCTTCACAGTGATGCCTCAGTTTCCCTGCCAGCAAAAGAATTATTTATGTCTATGGGCTTGGAGGCCTCATTAATGTTTTTGGAGGAGGTGAGGAGAAGGAAACTCTGGGATCCTGCCACCTACCTTATCTACAGTTATTCATGGAATCTGATTAAATGCTATATATAATGAAAGCTGATTAAATGCCACCACGTGGTATCGCAGAATGAGTCTTTGCGAGCCCTGTGTGACAGACGCAGCCGTGCTTTGGATAGCTTGATCATTTTAAACACTCAGTCTGCAGTTTCCAACTAATAACTTCATCTTTTTTCAATAATTTCATCTTTAATGTTACCTCAAGCCAAATCTCCCCAGATAGTTGCATGGGGAATCAAAACAAACGTACAAAATTATGAAGCCATAAGCCCTGTTTTTCCACTCCCTTAGTAAATAACCTTGCCCTTTATTGGGGAAGGTTACTAGTATCCAAGCTTTCACTGACAACGTTTGGTTTGGCAAGGTGGCCCATCGCTTGATGTTCTTGCTAGACCTTATCCCTTCTTCAGCGTCTTCAGCGGCAACGGTTTTTTGTTGCTGTTTTCCAGGCTTAAGTCATCAGTAGCTGCTTGTGCTCCTGCAATCAAATGCAGCCACATTGCTTATGAAAAAAAAAATCTTAGAAAGTCTGCATATCTCTAATTGAGCCAAGGAAATTACTTGTACTGCTTTGCCTTGGGGAGTTGGGATGACTCAGACTCAGTACTACAGCTATTTTAGCTGTTCTGCTCCATTTTCAAGTCCAGCTCTGGCTAGAAACAAGCAGAAGATTGTGGCTTGCTTCTATTTGATTTCTGTGTGATTGAAGCAAATTTCCTGATGCCATAAATCATAAGAATCAGTGGAGTGAAAGCATGAAGAAAAAAAAGCTGTTTGTGTGATATAAGGCCTAAATCTGATGTCATGAAACTTTCAAAATAAGCAGGAAGAGGCAGAGCTGAGTGCTAGTTTCTGAACCTCCACCCTTGGTTCATGATTGTTTTCAAACTTTGCAACCTCTGGGAAGAGACAGTTTGGGTGTGTTCGGATGGTGGGAGGATGGTTTGGTTAGGGTGGTTGGAGGTGTTTTGCTCTGGCAGCTCAGCTCTGCTAGGCTGGGCCCACCTGTTCGGTGGTAACAGGCTGGAAGTGTTTACTGTCAGTTTCTGCATCTCTTTGGAGCAGTTTAACCTTAAACTAAGCCTAGCCACAGCAATCCTTTGAGCAGATTGTCTCCTAACCAAAAGATCCTAGTAACAAAGGCACTAAGAAACACACAGACTCTCAAAATATCTGCAGTGGGGGTGATGTTAGCAGCGACTTGAGCAAGGGAAGCAACCGCAGTGCAACCCCTTACCAGTGCAAATATTGCTTTAGTCGGCAAATGTGGCGGAAGAGGAGAAGACAGAGCAGGGTCACGGTGGGTGAGCTCTGCCGTCTCGTCCCCAGAGCTGCCCTGGCCCAGGGAGATATCACCCATGCAGCTAGTCAGCCCCCTTCACCAGGGCTGCGATGCTGCTCCCTGTATAGATTTTGTGTTGGCTGAGGGGGTTAAGCTACAGATTTTGGGCCTGAGCACGGTCCCAGCGGAGCAGAACGGGAGAGTGGTGGTGTCCCCAGGACACTTTGAGGAAGAGGGCTGGTTCAGTGACATGGGGAAGAGGGAAATGCTTTGAGTTCAGTGCTAGTTTCTGGCCCACAGTAACAACTAAGAGATGGCCCTGGGTGTGTCGGTCAGAGACACCAGTTTTTGTCTCTCCCCTCTTTCTCTCAGTGCGGTTGCAGCGGAGCTCTTGCTGTCAGCGGTTCGAAAGAGAAATCCTTGGTTCCTTTATGTGTTCACCTGCTCTTTTCTTTCCTAGGGCTGCCATCCCAGGGAGAACTGGTCACCCCGCACTGGCTCCTCAGAGGGCGTAGCAGACGAGCTGTCAGCCTAGCGGAAAAGGTGAGCATAGAGATGAAAAGAAACGTGGCTTCCTGTCCCCTGCATCAAGCAGTCGGAGTAGGGAAACAGATCTTGCAAGGGAGCTCTTCATTGCAAGCAGCATTCAGATCAGACAGAGGTGCTGAGTTTTTGCAGGAGCTGGGCCCTGAGTGGTTTTTCATTTTGTGTGTTTTTTTTCCTCTTAACGAACTCACTGACTTTTATGGTTCCAGAAATAACCACCTTCTTATGTGCCAGACAGACAGGTCCAGGGCCGCCGCTGTTGCCCAGAGCGGCATTGATAGCAACTCCAAGAGGGTTTTTAGATTAGTCCTTACTGCTAATCTTCAGGGAAACAAGAAGTTTCATGACTGTTACACTCGGCTGCTGCCACTGCCAAGGTACATTTGAGGATCACAAGCATTGTACTACTCGAAAAAGAGTGACCCTTCCCTTTCCCTGCACAGTAACAAGACGGGGGTGGGGAGCTGTTTGGCAAGGGAAAACGCTGTAGTTTTTATTCCAACGGACTGATGAGAATGGAAATCAGGTAGGAAAATCCAGAATGCAGTAGCTGTCAGCAGGGTTGTAGCATATTAGCATCTAGGCTAACCCATCTCACCTGCAAGAAGAGAGGTTGTATGTGTGTGGCTTCGGGCTTCAAGCAGGGCTGGGGGAGGCAGAGGATTCAGTAGCAAATCAAGCATGGCCTTAAATATCAGGCAGTTGGAGGGATGGCCAAGAGCTGTAGGGTCTTTGTATGGGGGTGAGTGGAAGGCAGCTGGGAAAGAGAGGTAACTCTCTGGAGTGACTGGAGATGGTTTGGCCAGGACACGTAGACCAACACTGCTTAGCTAAGGGGAAAGCGCTGCAGAATTTGAGACTGGTGTCCTTGGAAAAATCTCTTCCCAGAGCTGCTCTGCTGGTCGTCAGGCCTTCCCATCTGTCCCCGCCATCTCTAAATCCACTTTGAGATGCTGTTGGTGACCCTTGCCTGTGTTTGGCACCTTTCCCAGCTCTGGGGTCAACTGGCTCAGCAGCTGCCCATTGGCCTCAACAGCTGGTCTTTATACCCAGCAGCTGGGGAGGGTCTCGGGGGCTCTGGTTGTCTTGGAGGCAGATTAAACTGGCTTCTAGCGCAGAACAAGCACCTATACAAATCATTGCAGGAAAACCTTCTGTTTGGGGGCTGAATAGACTTGTTGCTGAGGAGATTCAGTGCTGAATATCATCCTTCTGTGGCCCCTTTGGTGGTAACTCCTTGGAGCAGGAGCTGAGAACCCAGCTTTGAAGCAAACTCAGAGTGTCTCTAGGTAAGAGCTATTGGACTGTCTGTGACAGCTCCAAGAAGTAGATACCAAGGGGTGAGTCAGTTCCGTTTCCCGTCCGTAAAACAGAGAGGGGTTTGCAATGCCGTGCTTCCTTCAAGGGACTGAGTAATGCCTTTTACTAAGGGAACAGGGAGCAGGGAAATCTTCTGGTGCACCGTTCGTATTGGTGGTGGCTGCTGGGAGACATGTCCCTCCAGCAGCTGAAATAGCTTTCGGCGTGCCCTGCCCATATCAGCCCCTTGGCACTGAGGATCCTGTGGTCAGTCTGCAGAAATGTCCCCTCTGTTCCAAGTAAATGACAGTCCCAGATCAGAGTGGCTCAGCCTATATATAGGCTGGAGGGCAGTTGGGATGGGGAATGTGGGACAGCAGGAAGTTTATTTATACTCTTGCAAACGTGCCACTGGCCAAAATCGCATCAGGCGGCCGTGGGTGCCGGGAGAGCCCAAATCATATGGCGCAAATGTGCGGGGCCGTTGGCTTCTTGCAAGCTGCTCAGGAACCCCATGATCAGTAGCGGTAAAAGGCCAGCCACCGTTTGGGTGGGGAAAGGGGGTGGGTGGGCAAGATCTGTGTTCATTTCCTGGCATCTGTTCTGCCTCAGCTCGCTCCAGACAGTGCGAAACAACAAGGCTCCTGTTCCTCAGGGGAGGCGGGGAGAGGAAGGGTGGTCAAACCCAGGAAGAATGCATGCTGGTGGTGGTGGGAGAGAGGGGAGGCTTTGTGGGGGAAGGACTGTGGGAACCAGACAAAGGACACGGTACGGGAGAGCAGGGTCTCTGTTTGCGGAGATACCCGAAGGATTTGCTAAGAGCAGCTTACAGCTGCCTGATCTATGCTGAGCTTTTTACTTTGATATCGGATGTTGAAGAGTACTTATTTTTAGGATAAAGTTATTTTGTCTCATCTCCACCCTGACTCCTTCTGCCCTCCAGCAAAGATCCTCGAAATAAATGCAGCTGCATGATTGCTGTCAGCCCATACATTCCTGTGGCTGGCACGAGCCCAGCTTACCAGGGCCTGGCACAGCCCGGGTCGTGTGCGAGGCATCTGGCCGGCCTTCCCAGCGCACAATGCTGCTGTTTGTAGTATCTGGGCGCAGTTGGTTTTCAGGGGTGGCAGTAGTGGAAACTCGTGCACAGCCTGAAGCAACGGGGAGGAAAAAGAGAGGCTTTATCTTAGCAAGCTCTGGATGGTGGTCAGGCTGTTAAAGGCAGATGGTGAGAGGGGAGGAATTATCTTTGGGAGTGCCTGCACCTACCTGATCACATAAGAAACTCCTGTTGCTCATCCCCTGAGTACAGCCAGATGGGCTGCACGGATGCATGAAAGTGGGTTTCGCTCGTTCTTTGGGTGGCAAGTGTTGGTGCTTTCTGCTAAGCACGGGGATGCACTGTGGGAAACTCCCGCCATGAACGGTTCCTCCTCTCTGGCGGGTTCCCCAAATGGGTGTCCTGGCTTTCTGTGCCCTGTTGTTGGGGGAAACATTGACATGGAGAGAGGAGGAGGCTGAGAAGGGAGAGGAGAGGAGTGTGGTGTGAGCAGATTATATATCTGAGTATGAAGGATATTTGTGGCCAACGCTTTTGATTTCTAAGACAACATCTTCCTCCTCTTTGGCTGCGAATTGGGACACATCTCCTGTGCGGGCAAGTGTGTCCTGACCTCACCAGAACTGGCATGAAAGCTAGAAGCTGCAAGTACAGCTAGACTGTGCCCAAAGCTGGTACATCCTTGGGGAATCCTACCTTGATAAACCATCCCTTTGTGTACCCCAAGGCAGGGCATCTCCCTAGGCCGTCAGAGGTGTGGGTCAGTCCCTTTGCGGCTTGGATACCAAAGGGTTTGCAAGGAAACAACGTCTGCTGCTTGAAAGTGTGAAAGGATGCTGGGCTCAGTGTGGCAACAGCCCTGTGGTTCCTCCATCCTGTGTTTCCTGCTCCAAAAATCAGAGAACTGGGGGCAAGGGGAGGGGTAGTGAGTTGTTCAGGCTCAGCCAGTCTTTGGCTCATGCTGGGAAATAGGCGCCTCGGTCCTGGGGGAGAGGAGCGATGTGCCAGGGTTTCTGTTCAGTGTTTGGGCTGCATCCAGCAGTGGCAGCCCTGCCCTGGAGCCACAAGCCTGGTGCAGACAGATCTTGGCACAGACGTGACACACGGGTGGTAGGAATGGGCTATGTCAGTGGCATGGGCGGCTCATTCCTAGCTGTTGTCTCTGCAGAGCACACGCTTAGTTAATTCAGAGGCCTCACTTTGCCCTTGCTGGACAAGGCAACCTGGCACAAACCTCTTCTTCCCTGCTTACCCTTTCTGTAGCTCCAGTGTGGACCCAGGCTGTGGTGGAGGGTGGGATGCTGCCGGGTGACCTGTCTGGTGATGTTTGTAGCTTGTCCTGGGAAGCAGCCCTCTTCTGAGGGAAGTAACCACATCTCCTTTTCCAGTGAAGAGATCCCTGGTGGATTAGACTCCCGACCACCGCTGTCCTCCTCCCGGAGGAACCCAGTGACAGAGTGGAGATCAGGCCAGCAGGAAGAGAGCTGGGAGATCATGGTGGCTTGTAATCCCATCGTGTGTGGCCTGGCATGGCGCTCAGCAGGCCCAGACCCTGCCTCATCTTCCACCCACCCTTCTCTTTCATATTGTTTGGTCTGAATCCCCTATGGGCTTGATGGCTCCTGGCACAGATGGAAGTGATCTCCCTGCTCTCCAGCCCTCTGCTCCAGAGCATTCACAGCAGCAGGGCCTAGGGAAGCCAACGAGATTTACATGGCTCCAAGCATGGCTGGCAGGAGGTCGTGGGGACCCTGATTGCAAACAGCTTCCTCTTCACTGGCGTGGGACAGGGTCCTAGCCTGCTGCTGCTGGGATCCTCCTTCTCTTTCTTCAATCCACTCAGGGTATGGAGCGAAGGCTGCTGTGGGGGTGAGCAAGAGGGAGCAACCGCTGAGCTGCTGTTCAGCTGCGGGAGGGTGGGATGGGTTAGTTCTGTCCTGCCTGCTCCTTGAGCAGGGGCATTTCTTCTCCCCGGTGTCTGCAGGCTGGTGCTGTGGTTGCTTGGTCCTGGGGGCAGGGAGGCTCTGGCTTGTCCTTGTCGTCAGGAAGGGTTCTGTAAGCGTGGGTAAGCAGCATGGCCCTGTTTCGGTGTGCGTGTGTCACGTGTGTCATTTTTGGGCATTTTGGGGGTTTGTTTTTTGTTGGTGGTGTGTTTTTTTTTTTTTTTTTTTTTTTTTTTTTTTTTTTTGTTACGTTGGACTTCATACCTGTCCTTGCAGCTCTGGGAGCCAACTCTGCTGCCAGCCTGAGCAGGAATCTTTCATCTAGCCAGTGAGCTCGGTGCACGGCCCTGTCCGATCCTCGGAGCAGGATGCTGCTGCGGCAGGGAGCGGTGTGGCATAGGTGGGGGACAACAATCACATGTCCTACCCATGCACTGCCAGGGGGGATCCTAGATCTTCCCCATGGCTGGGGGATCCCAGATTCCAGCTGTGGAGGTTGGGGAGGCCCCTGATGTGGCCTTGTATGGGAGCTGGCCCTGAGGTCACTCACTATGCAGGGAAGGAGAGGAAACGAGTAGAGGAAATAGAGGGTATTGGGAATGGGGCAGGCAGCTTGTGCCAGAGCTGATCCGTAGGCCTTTCCAACTTTTAAGGTCCAGGGGATGGTCGTGTCCAGCATCCTGCCCTGGGCCACA